TAATGTTTTGAACAACCAACAATAAAAAAAAAAAAATAAAAAAAAAAAAAGAAAATCTTCCTTTTGTGGAAGCTACCAAAAATCGCAATTCCCAAATATAGCCACAAGAGGTCAGACAACCATCAAGAAAACAGTTGGGCTGTGTTATTTATTTATGTTTTTAAAGCGCTGCTGAGTAACCATGGTATTAAATGAAACCTGAAAGATTCTTTGGCAGGTTTTCTCCAAACAGTATTTCACCTCCCAATTGAATACTTAATCTCCAGTTTCGACAACAGGATTAGTGTATATATAAGCCAGCCTTCCCCGAAATTACAAGAGAGGTATTCCTGTCACTTTAGCTTCAGGCAGAAATTCTTGCAATTCAGAGTAGATTTTTACCAAAATCCTTAAGAATAAATGTTTTCAGGAGGCACTGTTTTCAACTCTGTCACTTATTGGCAGAGTGACCATGGGAAAATTGCTTAAATTCCTCCCCTCTAGAAAAGGGGCTAATGACTCTTACTGCATAGGATTATAGTGGGGATTCAATGAGAGGAGGCTAACACATGTGAACTCATACCGGGGATCGAATACAGGGTGCTCTATCATGGAGCGACATCCCTGACCCTCTTTTAAAATTTTATTTTGAGACTGTCTCACTAAGTTGTCTAGGCTGGACTTAAACTTGCAATCCTCCGGCCTCAGCCTCCCAAGTAGGGGGGATTATTGGCCTGAGCCACTGTGCTAGGCTTACAGGTTAACTTTTTTTTTTTTTTTAAATATAGTCTTTGTTTTCTCTTCTGTAAAATAAGGGGGTTGGGGAATGGGTCTTTAAATTTTTATTCTACATGAATATTCAGTGTTCAATGAAATTGTATTTATCCTTGGAGAACCTCAAACTCAAAATACTGTTTCTGGGCCATGAATATTTCCTGAGATTCTTTATGAGACTGGTGTGATAGAAACAAAGAGTTGTTTGATGGTAGGGAAGGTGAGTACTCCTCAGTCTGCAAACTTGGGTCTTCTAAGGTCATTTGTTATCAGTTGTAAAGTTCCTCTACAAAATGGGGCTGAACTAGCTACTTCACAAGACATGAGGATTAATGAAATTGTGTGAATCTCTTTAAATAGTAAAATATTACCTGTATTTGGCCAGGCACCATGGTGCATGCCTGCAATCCTAGCAGCTCAGGAGCCTAATGCAGGATAATTGCAAGTTCAAGGCCAGCCTGGGCAACTTAGAGACATCCTGACCCTGAGTTCAACCCTCAGTACAAAAAATAAATAAATAAATAAATCGATCACTCAGACCAGTATAAGCAGCAGCCAGAGATGGACAGGTGCCTGGCATTGAGGTTCAACACTTCTTAAATTGGACGTAAGTCCTTCTTCTGTCATCTCCATAGCAGAATTAATTAAGGCTCTTGCCGAAGATAAATGAGTTACACAGTGGTCAGTTAATCATTTGCCATTTTGAGAATGACCTCCTTTGGCCTTTCTTGTGCAGTTGATGATCAGATACAGAGGCTGCCTGTGGGTAGAAACCCTGAGGAAGGCAGGCTGAAGGAGGTCATGTTGGTCCACCCCAAATGCTAGTGAGTACAGTCTTACCTGTTCTACACAAATTATCAGTTCCTTGTGTTTAGTTCAGTTTAAGCACATCTTTATCAAGTTCCAGTGACTTGACAGATACTGTGCTGGGAACTGTGGAGTCAGAGAGGAAGATGGCATAGCTCCTGTCCCCCAAGATGCTCAGAGACTGTGGGAGAAACGTGAGGAGGAACCTACTTTCCATGACACATAGGAAGTGCCTTAATGGAGAAATGTATGGGATTGTAGAGGAGAGGGGCTGGAGGCATGTGGTCAGGAGGAACCTTGGAGAAAGGCATGCCTAAGCTGAAATTTGAAGGACAAATTAACACAGCCTGACAAAGTCACAGGAAAGAGAAAGGAAGGTGGAAACCTGGCTCAGGTAGATGGACTGCTTTAAACAAAGGCATTGAAACAATTCTGGGCAGTTTTGGGGTCCCGGGACACTGGAGCATAGAGGCAGATAAAGGTGGCAAAAGTAGTTTGGCTGAGCTGAGGATGATCTGGAGTGTAGAGAACTATCTGATGCCTCACCCACACTCTTCTTGGTCACAAAGCATGCCACCTCCAGAGGCACCAATTGGTGAGGGAGAGGCATGGGCAGGGTAGGTGACCTCAGCTTTACCCTCGAGCTGTGCTGAATGACCATGAAGTCACTTCCCAGGTGACTGAGACACCCTCCCCAGAAGACCCAGCTCCTAGAAAAGCTGTGCTTTGGCCAGGTCCAGAGAGGATTTGCCAGGTTTGTTGACGATTCTTGATGCAGAGGACCCAGGACTGAAATTGAGCAAGGAAAGCTAACTGGAACAGAGTTGACCCTACCAGGAGGTATACAAGACAGGGAGTCCCAACCTGTTCTGGGCTTTCCTGATAGCAGGCAGGTACATCCATTGTGGGCTCAGGATAAAGAGGGAGCCTATTCACTTTGTGGAAGTAGAAAACCCTTCACAGGGCTGGTGGGGTTCACTTCCCGCCATCTCAAAGGGCCAGGCTTCTCCCTTCCCATTTCTCATGGTAGTCGGGACCAATCCAAACCAATCCCCAAACTACAGGGAATTGTCACGAGTTGTTCCATAAAGTGGACTCAACATGGAATGTGCTTGAACATCAGACCACACGCAAGAGGAACACAACACTATGAAACACTATGGTGGTAAACATGAAAGGATCCTTTAAAGAAGGTAGCTGAGCAGATGGTACTAGAAACAGATGACACAGTTAAAAAAAAAAACAGGGTACAGTTTGTTAGAAGCTTGCTTTTTGTTTTCTTTCTTCTTTTTTAAAATCTATTACAAAGGAAAAACACTGGCAAAATTTCCTGCTCCATATAAATTGACAGATTCCTCAGGCAGCTCCCATGAGAGAGAATGAAGCCCGGTGTGTGTGAGTTGGTCCTTAAATATTTCTTCAAGCTTGTTTCCCCGTCTGTGTTAATAACCAAGTTTCATGGGGGTAGAATGTACCCAGGCTCCCTTGAGCCAGACTATTTATCATGGCAGCAGCTGGAGATAAGCTGGACACAAAGAGGATTTGTGTCTCAGGAGGGTCGTCCTTGGATACAGAAAGCAGAGGAATTTTCTCATTAGTAGGAAGTTAGTGGTGGGCACTCAGGGCTTTCATCACATGCCCCCAGAGAAAATGGAAACAGGGAGAAGGGCATCCTAGAGGGGTAAAGTGCTCCATGATGCTTTCACTGGACAACTTGAAGCTTCCAGAGTGGACTTCCTTGGGAAATGAAAGACATTAAATGCCATGTGCACTTATGAAGTTTTCCAGGGGAGGTAAGAAGTCCATTTACTATTAGTTCCCACCAATGACACTGCTGTGCCCTGGACAACATTTACCTCATGGTAGACAGGGGCTTGGATAAACTGTTTGAATAAATGCATCTTTGTTTCCCAGCTTCTAGACCAGCTTAGAGCATAGCACTGACAACATTTTTTTGTTGTTGTTGGTACTAGGGCAAAAAACAAAAACCACTGAGCCACATCCCCAGTCTTATTTCATATTTTATTTAGAGACAGGGTCTCACTGAGTTGCTTAGCACCTCACTATTGCTGAGGCTGGCTTTGAACTGACTATCCTCCTGCCTTAGCCTCCTGAGCCTCTGGGATTACAGGCAGGCACCGCAGCACCTGGCATATTCACATTCATTTTTATACTTAAAATTTTCCTTTAAATATTATTTTTTTTTCCTAATTATGCATATGTGACCTTAGCCAAAAATAACTTTCCATAATGGAGGGAAAGGAAGGCATACTAAAAGTACATTCCACACCTGAGTGAACATAGAAGTAAATCCCAAAAACCTCTAAGACACAAGGTATGGGAGTAGAATTGAAGAAGTCACCTAAAGAATCATCATTGGAACACATGCTCAAGGAAAAACGCTGCTATTGTAAGGATTTTCAGTGCCTTTTCCGTGGATGGAATATGCTGGATTGGTATTTGTGTTACTCCTGTTTTCTCTGAACTGTATGCTGGAGCCTACTGTCAAGAAGTTGAGTTTGGAAAGCCCATTTTTTTCTCTCTTGTACCTCCTCTAAGAAACAAGGCATAGGAGTAGAATTGGATGCAGAAAGACCAGGTACAGTCTTTATGCTACAGACACTCCTGACAAGGAGCTAGGGGACCCCCCCTTCAGGCTGAACTGTAGGATTCAGCTCATAGCAATGTCATGGCAGAAATGCCCATCTTTTTGTCTTTGGAAATATCTGTGGCTTCTGGGAACAGACTAAAACCCCTTTCTACTCCTGCTTCTTTTCCACTTTCTTCCTGGCCAGTTCTCCAGTGTGAAGTCTCTGGGTCCTTGGATCTGACACAGGCTGAGGTGTGGAGATGAAATGAAGGGGTTTAGACCAGCTCTTGTCCAAGCCACATTCTCTCCATAGGTCAACACCAAGGCAGTCCCAGTCCAGAGGACCCTCCAGAGCAATTTCCTGAAGTGCCTAAGATCACAGCTCTGGATATTTTGCTGACATTTACTGATGACTCTTTTTGAGAATGTACACACACACACACACACACACACACTTCAGCCAATTCTTGGTTGGAAGTAGGGTGTGGACCCCAGATTGAGAACCAGTGACCTAGAGAATGATCTTATGGTCATTTGCATTTCTTTCCAGCTTCCTCTCAAGGAGAGACTTACCCATATGCATCATGCAGATGCCCTGGAAGCAGTCATGTGTCTAGACATTCATAGTAGCCAGCCAGTCATGGACACAGATGATGGCATATCCTGAGAAATTGTCCCGCCCAAGGGTCTCAGGTTGGAGGTTCATCAGTAGACGCCATCTTCCCCACATTTCTGTATTCCTTACTCTTTCAGTCTCATAAAACAAAGTGCCAATGTTCTCTACCTGACTAGTCGGCTTCCTGGAACCCACTACTCCCCATTAGTCAAGAGGCAAAAAACAAAGCCAGCAAACCAAACTGAATTCTTTTATTGTGCAATTTCCTTCTACCAGAAAAATCTCTAAAAATATAAATATGAACTCTCTAAAAATACTCAGAATAGATCTATAATCTTCTTCCTCTTCCAAACTAGGGCCAAACTTTTTTTCAAAGCTGATGGGCTAGGAACATATGTCTTCATGTCGTCTACATACATAATATTCAGAGATGTTTCTCTTTGTGCAGGAGGGGAACACCATCCTGCCAGGTTTGGGAAGCTCATTTGTGATCAGGATGAAGTTATAAACAGAACTGGGGAGAAACTTCCTTTTGCAAATGTAGAAGATAGCCCTTCATTCCTCCCCAGTACCTTGCCCTCACAGGGTGGACTGGGCTGCCCTATGCCAAGCTCCACTGGACTCATGAGGAGCGATTTATGGTAGTGGGGCTGCCATGCTATAATCCAGGAAGGTGAGACTGGAGATGGACAGGAAACCAGAAGGGGCTTTGGCTGGAAGAGTTGGCCAGAGAAAAAAACCCTCAGCAGGATTAGTAGTAAGTTGCTCCTACCGGTTCTAGATAACACCTAGCCCGGAGCAACCATGTCTAAGACAAGGTTCAATCTTCGAGGGCCTCCTAGGTAGCAGTGTCACCCCTAGAGCAGGGGAATGGCTGAGCTGTAGGCAGCCAGAGATTGGCACAGAGTCCCATGGCACCTTACTCAGTATCAGACATAAATCTGAAGAAGCCTGGAGTCATCCTGTGATGGTCCTGGGACAACCTGGTGGGATCCCTTCGCTAATCCTGGGTCTGAGGGCCAGGACTCCAGCAGCAGCTGGAGTGGAGACAAGTACTTAAGCAAGAGGGGGCTGGAACTGTTTGTACTCCAGTTACCACATTACTTGATCCCTGGAGGGCAGCAGCCTCAGACTGCAGGCACTTGCTGAGTTTCCTGTCAGAGGGGCAAACCAAGCTTCCGGTACAGAGAGCTCAGATGAAACTGGGCTTACTCCCTGGTGGGTGTTTAGAGTCTCTGCCCCCATGTTCCCGGTTCTGTTTTGGTTGATGTTATGAACCATTTTAGGAAAACTCACAGGACACCAAATGCTAGTCCTGAGGATTTCTGACTTCCAAGGTGTTCTTAGGGTAAGGCAGGGCAGGGCCTTTATGTGTGCTAACAGCCCTGCTCACTCCACCGCGTCCTTGCAGGCACTCAGCTGCACAGGACCCTCATAAGCAGGGAAGGAAAAGGACTTTGCAGGGAGTATGTTGCAAAACCTTGCTTTCTGGGGCAAAAGAAGGCAGAAGAGAAGGGTGTGAGAGGGTGGAGGCAAGGCTGTACAATTGTAGAAACAAGAATGTGCCCACATGCCGGCAATCCCACTGAAGCTTCCAGTTCTGTAGGAGTTAACGTGGATGTATTATATGGTGGTAGGAAGAGGAGCAGAGGCTTGGTGATAATCAACTGGGAAGCCAGGCCTAGGTATCCCAGAGCTCATGGGTGAGAAGCCAAACACTGAAAGGAAAAGGGAAGGGCACAGGAATGATAGGAAGAAGCCTGAGGCACAGCCTGCCCTGGCTGGACCTACCATTCCCATTCTTCTCTTTAGATACCGGTTGCCTTGTTAAAAAACAAAAAAAGAGAGAGAAAGAGAGATGTTATCTTCTTGCTGCAAAGACCCCCAAGATTGAGCTCGCTGCAGGGTCTCCTGGCCCTTGGAAGACAGTACAATAGGTCCCCTGGTGGGAGACAGGAATACAAAAGTGGGTTAACCCAGGAGGATAGGAACAAGTGAAGGTTTGAGGATACTTATCTGTTCCTTAGGCGGATCCAGAAGGAGGGAGCAGAGGACCACCCCTGGCATCAGGACAGAACTAGGGAAGGGCAGGACAGAGGCCCCTCCAGGGAGGCCTGGTGCTGCAGGAGACTCAGGCAACTTCAAAAGCACAAAGCACCTTGGGTTTATTAGGAGGTGTGCCTCCACAGTTTGGATCGCATCCCAGTCTCTCACATGCTTCTCCCTGGCTCTCACACTTACTGAGACCCTGGCACTGCTTCATTCTAGGCTGTGGGGTGACCCTGAAAAATTGCTCTGATCCCCAACCACACTCTTCTCTATCTTGGCTTCACTCCCTTATCTACACCTCTGCTCTCCTCTCTAGTAGGACCACCCTTACTCTCCTGGGTTCTCCTCTCAAACCAAAATCAAAACATGCTCTGCTGCTGCTTCTTCTGAGGCCTGCCTAGCCCTGTCTTCACACACATAGCAAAGGAAGCCTGGCTGTTATTTCTGTGCAGGAAGCCCCAGCATTTTCCCAGGTGCCTAAAGGATGGGAAAAACCTCGATAACCCTGAGTGATAGGTTAAGCACCCCCTCTGGCCCCCTGGGACAGAGGAAAGATACCAGGTGCCCCGCACTCTCTTGGAACCAGGAGGAACCGTGGCTGGGCTACGGTCAGGTTGTGTGGCTTTCTAGGACAGGCCCCATCATCAAGCCAACCCCATCATTCCTCATCCAGCCTTGTTGCCCCCTGAGATAGGATCTCTGGGCCATGATGGAGGAGAGAGAGGAACCAGGGCTTGGGTGAGGAAGAGCAGGCAGCATATGGGAGACAGACAAAGAAAAGTCCTGCAAGATCCATCACCCTGAGCTGGTAGCCCTGTCATTCAGTAGGAAGCTGGAACAAACTTGTGGGTGAAAGAGATCTAGTACCCCTGGGTTACAATCAACACCCAGAGGAGCTTATAGAAATTAGGATCAAGGATGGCACCTGAGTCCTTTTGCCATTCTGCAGATAGACTCTTCAACTAGAATTACCTGTGGACTTTTAACCCTGCAACATCTTGTGTGGAAATCAGCTTTCTGCAGGTGCCTTGTACAAGGAAGACCAAAGGGCATGGTAGAGCTAGGGCCAGGGCCCCCTGTGCACAGTGGAAGAGAAAGCAGAGGGAAGAGGGGTGCTTGGCAGGGAAGATCACAGGCTACTCAAAGGACAGCAGGTCTGGGTGAGGGCCCTCATTGTCAAGGCTGGAGGTCCGTGCCCGAGGAGGGGGGCTACTGTCCTCCCAGGACTCGGCCAGGCTGATGGGGCTCAAGCTGAGTTTGAGGCCATTCCTCTCAACGAGGCCTGGGGAGGAGGCTCTTCTGTGCTCAGATGCCTTTAACTTAGATTCATCCTGGCTGTCCTTGTGAATTAGGTCAGGAACCGATAGGGAAACTTCACCATTGGGCAGAACCTCGTCCCTATCTTCCATGGTGGCCTCCAGCTGTGAAGCATCTGCTGGGACAGGTTGGACAGTGAGAGGGGAGTCCTGGGGCTGCCCAGGTGACAGCTCTGTCCCATACTCCAGACTACTTAGGACGGGCTGTGATGATATCAGCATGTCCTGGGTGGTCTTCAGGGCCCTAGGGGTTCGCTTCCTGGTTATGGGAGGTGGAGGATCCAGGCGAGGGAAGTCCTCAGGGACTGATCTGTAAGATTGATAACAGTAAACATGCATGCTTTACAAATGGTGAGATACCAGTCCACCCCATCCTCACATCCCTAACTCCAACTTCACCTTCAACTCAGCCACATGGGTGAGTTCATCCCTTGGGCCAATAAGTGCTTCACCCCCTGGGCTCCAATTCTGGGTTCAGGGTGCAGGTCTTAGCAATTTCAACACAACAATGAGCTTTTGGCCTGTTTTATCCTTATCCAGTGTTCAGAGCAGCACAAAAACCTATACAATAAGCCCCATAAGGGGTGCATCACTACTTCAGAAGCAGCCATGTTTAAAACAAGGCCTGGGTGGGTGTGATGGTTCACGTCTATAATGTTATCTACTTGAGAAGCTGAGGCAAGAGGATGGCAAGTTTGAGGCTAACCTGAGTAATGCAGTGAGACCCTGTCTCAAAATAAAACATAAAAAGCGCTGGGGATGTAGCTCATTAGGAAGAGTACCTCTGGGTTCAGTACCCAGTAAGAAACATAAATAAATAATAAACAAATGAATCAATGTAAAACAAGACCCGAAAGGACCTCTTGGTTAGAAGTGGAAGAATGGGAGTGCCACGGGGGGCTTCTCCTTTCCTGTGGTTCTCAGGCATCAGAATCCATCTGGGAAGGTGCTGGGTAATACTTTGGTTCAAATCTACCTCTGCCAGGTACTAACTAACCAGCTACTCACTTGACCATTCTGAACTCAAGTCATTGGCAAAACGAAAACCTAACCTACCTCCCTGAGTTCTGTGAGGGTTAGATAGAATGATGCTGTAAAGTATGCATATTTAGTGCTTGAGGACACCATGGCTGCTCAATAAGCATTCCTATATGCGTGGAGGTAGAGGCCAGTTCCCATGAACGTGGCCCAGTCCTGCTTTTGACAATTTCATATCCCTTCCTCAGTGCTGTTCTCCCCTGACACACTGCAGTCTGTCCTTGTCCCTACCCATTCAAGTGGAATACGGGGCAGGTGGAGGGACTCACCTTTCATCCTCTAGCCAGGCCCCTGATGTCCCATCAGCCCCACCAGCCAGCTGAGCCCCCGCAGTCTTGTTGATCTCCATCACACCCACACTGCTGAGGCCTGAGGGCTCCTTTCTCCTCAGGAGGTCGTTGACTTTGGCCCCCATGGCTTTGCCTAGGTTCTTGAGGTGCTGGCTGCTCCCCACCCTCACTCCTGGCCCACCAGGCTCTGAAGAGCCAAGGGTGGCAGAGCTGGGGGCCACAGGTCTGGACAGGTGGGGGAAGGAACGGCTCGACTGGAGCTTCGGAGTGAGGGCTGTGTTCAAATTCTCAAACATGCTGTGGTCAACTATGAACAAAGAGGGGAGAAAGAAATTGATGAGTAGACGCGAGCAGGACCATACCACTGGGCTTTTACCTGTTTTATACCAGGCCCCAAACTTGTAACTCCATAAGGCTTTAGCAACATTCAAGAAATAGCCAGCAAAGATGCTCTTGGACTTTCCAGTACAGTTTTCTTGATGGGACCTAGGACCAGAAATTCCAGTTCTGTCCTACCCAAGTTAATCAGTGACTCATTAGCCATAAAAAGGCAAACATTCCTTTAAATAAATCTCTTTGACTCAAGGCTTGATCCCTCTACCTTGGGGGTCACCAGGCCCTTTGAAGTGAACAAAAAATGAGAATGAAGCAACAAAATGTGACATGTTTACGTTGCCACAAACACATGCTGAGCTCTCTGACTCAGGTGCTGGGACAGAAGCTGGTGGAGGGATGGCAAGTACGAGGCTTGGTGCTGGATGTTCCCTTCTGAAAGCCACATGTTTAGCACATTTTCTCCACGGAAAATGGGCCAGCAGTTCCTTAGGTCTTGGAAGACTAGGTCAGCTCCTGAGCAGAGAGGTCAAATAGTGGATCAGAACCAGCTCACACCAAAGGGACAGGTACTCAGTGGCAGTAAAGCTCAAGGATCCTTACAAACCCCACCTCAATTCTCACAACGTAATGTGGGGAACATGGGAAGATATCTATTTATAAATGAGGGAGGGGTTCAGTTCATAATGAACTTCAGGGCCCAAGATTACAATGCTAGCTGATGGTTAGTCTGAAACTAGAACTTGTAACTCAGAGCTCAGGGCTCTTTCTCCTGCCTTGGAACATGGAACAGCTGCCTACATATACCTAGTAGATGGCCCTTCTCTTGGGGATCTCCCTTTGGCTTGAACAATGAACTAGAAGGACTGGGTATAGACCCACTGCATTGTGAACTTTTGCAGGGCAGAGGCCATGCAGCATCCATCTTTGTCTTCAATGCCTAGACTGGGTCTAGTACGTAGTTTGTACTCAATAAATATTTTTGAATTGAATTTCTTATATTTTATAGATGGAGAATTTGGAAGGCCAAATGGTAGCCCCAAGGTTTGTTGCTGAAAGGGCTGGACCTTCAGGCTCTAGGCCAGGCTATCCATACACTGGCACTTAGGCATCCTCTCCATACCTCAAAAAAACCACCTCAGTAGTCAAGGCAGCCAGACCCACTCTGGAGCCCTGAAATTGGACCTGAGTGGTCCATATCAACTGCCCCAGATATTTTGTCAGTCTGGCAGAACAGGTTCCATTTGCTCCAAAGGCTACTCTCCTTGTTAACACCTCCACGAAGCCTTTCCTGATAATAACTGAGGTTTGAGTGTATAGTTTTGCTTCTGTTGGATATTGGCTTAAAGCAGTTCTCTCTCTGCTTGTGTGCTACTGAGTCTTGGGTCAGGGGGAACATTTCTCTTTCTTGAGGTTTCAGCAGGGCAAACTATCTGGATAAGCCATATTCTAAGGGACTTTGGGTGGCAGGGAGAAAGCCATGGGAAGAGGGGTGGAGACCTTTCCCTGAGGATGTGAGCCTCATGGTCTTCGCCTCTGTAACTGCCCTTGACGTACGTGCAAGTGAAAGCACCGTTGTGGGTAGGGGACATGCCAGGGAACTTGGATTATGGCATCCCTGGGATGGGGGGCCCAAGCTATCTGTGTACCTGCCACAGCAGCAGGAATACCCACTCACCCCACAACAAGCTGGGCCCTTGACTCCTGGTTACAGAGAATAATCACAATTCACCTATCATGCCTCAAATCCCTCTCATTTCCCTTACTCATGTTCTCTGCCAAGTAGCAAGGATTATTTGGAAACTAAACAATTTATTGTCTTCCAAACCAGAAAGTATATGGGTCACTATGGAATCATAACAAAATGCTTCAGTGGAACACACTGGGAAAAGTAAGCCCTCCACCATTTCCAGGATCAGAACTTTCTGTGGTGGTTTCCTTTTGGTTTAAAATAAATTCCAGAGAAGACACATTCATTTTTTTTTAAGTATGAAAACCTCCTGTCAGAGTGATTTGTAAACTATGAATTATGAGTAAAGTATGTATAAATTACTATTATTATTTTAAAAACATATCTCTTTATAACAAGCAAATAACTTTTTGATTAGGCACCATTTAGATACCCTTTCTTGTTCTCTACCCTTCAAAATCTAGTCTACAAAAAAAAAAAAAAAAACTGAATTCCTAAGTGATTTAAAAATAACCTGTCATAGACTCTCTTTACAATTGTCTAAATCTTTCTGGTAAATATACCTGTCTTTAAAATAAAATGGTAAGTTCTTTGTGGGGCTATGGTATCTTTAGCACTTTTCATTTTCTGCAATGCCTGGCTTAGGGCCTTGTGTGATAGTAGGCATTTAATGGTAGTTTAATTGATGTTGATTTTTAAATTAATTCTTAAAAACCAAGTGCATGATGAGCTGACAGTACATGGAAACTGCTCATAAGTCTGTTTCCACTTATAAAAACCACCCAGAAACTCCTCTATAAAGTCATTGTGAGGGTTCTTGAAGTCAGACCAGGAAAAACTGTCCTTCTTTCCAAGTGAGCTTGCCTGGGGCCTCCATCTCCACAACTGAGGGATATGCAATCAGCCTCTTTTCTGCTGATGACTCTAATGACCCCTGCACTCTGTCCCTCCTGCCTCAGGACAAGAGGTTTGGTGATCCTGAAAATAATGGTGATGGAAGGAAGAGACAATAGAATCCCAGCTGGTGGCCCTCCCAATAGCAACCCCCAACATGCATATACCCAAGCCGAGGAGGGCATCTGGGGACATAAGTCATCCACAAGAAAGGGAGTATCTTACCTGTCCGAGAAAGGGGCTCGGAAAGCAGGTGGGAAACAAATGAGAGAAAGACACATTTTATGTAGTGACCAGCTACTTTGAGAGTGTCACCTGCTGTATGGGTCACCATCAACAGCACATGCAAGACAGAGGACCTGCTACTAGCAGTGTAATAAACCCTAAATGACCACATTCCCACAAATACTTTAATAACTAAGCCAAAACAGAGCCGTATTTTAAAAACTCTACCACCAGCACTGAGGTATTTAGCTTCCCAAGTTTCCCCCCCAATATTTTGAGCACCCTTTACATTAAGTATATCTCCAGTTCCTAATTGATAGTGAGAGAAATGTGATTGTCTAAGGCAGAAAGAAATTCTAAGTCCCCTGGGTGTGAAACACATCATTCACATGATGCTATTTACATTTATTTACACGTATGTAAATTGCTAGACTTTAGCCAGAGACATTCATCCACTTCAACTCAGAGTCTAAATTAATAAAATGGAAAAGTCAAGCAGCAGTGCATTTGTACACTATCACCCGGAGGGGATTATAAGTCAAGTATACCAATTTATAAACTCATGATCTTGCTCTACACCATGATGGCCCAAGTGAAATTGCTAAGTGTCTCAAAAATGCCAAAATACTCAACTTCAATTTGTATCCCAATGTGTTCTAAAATTCCAAATCAGGCCAGGAGGAAAAAAACATTAAAGAAAACCAGGTTCTCCCACTGCCCTTCAAATGTTTCAAGATGGAAAAACCACTCCGGGCTCCATGCAGAAGTTGAAGGTACCATGTTCCTTCATAGGCCACACCACTGTGACAGGAGCTGATTTAAAGCACAGCTAAGTAGCTAGTGGACAGGTTGTGACACTATGCAATGGGGTAACTTCAGCTTATCTTCAAGGTCTCATAGTCATCTTTCATGCTTACTCCACATCCCACCAGTACACAAAGTTATTAAATGATAAATCAAAGCAGAGAGAAGAGGCAGCCCTGCCTCCTTGGAACCTATAGTCTCACCAGCAAATTGGCTTAAAACAATGAACAAAATGGTGTCCATTTGTGTTTTAGTCACATTCAGAAAAGAGCACCAACCATTGAAAATAATGTCTAATAGCTATTCTTTGGAAAAAATACATTAAAGTATTTAGGTATAAAAGGACATAATGTCCACAACTTACCTTCAAATACTCCAGAAAAAAAAATTATGTGTACACATACATATGTAGGGAGGGGAAGAAGAGGGAGGGAAAAGATAAACCAAATAGGGCCAAATGTTAGCAAGAGAAAAATCTATAGAGAGGGTCTATAGATGCTCTTTATATCAATTTTGACTTTGAAAATTATATAAATTTGAAGTTATTTCAAAAAAAAATTAAATATATACCTCAAACCAAAACAAATGAACAACCCAATAAATAAAATGGAGACCCAAAAAACCAGAAACTAAAACAAAAAGATAAAAGAACAAACAAAAATATTCAGTGGCAAATAAAGGAGAAGAAAAGCAAGACAGTTATTCAGAAAGAACAAAGGTTCCCAGAGCTGGGGAGTGTAGCAAAATCAACAGAGAAAAGGGACAATAGTAAAGAACAAAGGGGACAGACAGTCAACATCATTATGATATCTCCACTGTATTCTTCCTTCTCTCTGGGTATTCTCAGCCAGGGCAAGGCACAGAGAAATGACAAGTCAAAAAAATATTTAGCAATTAAAAAGAAAAAGAAAAAAGAATCTTGCTTACAATAGACTGCATCCACCTTTCAGAAGTATAACCTAGCTGCTGAATGGAATCATGTGACCTTGTGATGTCAACTGTGCTCAGAATGTTTATCGTCTGGACAACCTGGCCAGCCTCTTGGGAGCAGGCGTGTGATCGTCATACCCCGCAGTGGTCAAAATATGGAAAACTTCTCACTCCTCAGCATCTCTGGACTTCGGATCTCTTCCTCTGCCTTGAGCACTTTTCCTGATATTACACCCTCACATGCCACCAGTTTACCAGGTAAACTTTAGTGTCACTAGGGCTGCAAAGATGTAGGGTTTTTAGGAAGCTTTTACTTAAGTACCCTACCAGGTCATGTTACAGGACCAAAATTTAGTGAGAAAGCCCAATTACACTGGGGAGAAAATCATTTTTCAAAATGCTACATTCCAGGTAAAAGTAATTCCTGCTGT